CACACACAGTCACACACACACACAGTCACACATAGTCACACACACACTGAAGCAGCAGAAGTGTGATGATGACACTCTGAGAGAATCGGTGTGAATAATTTATGGAACTCTGAGTTGAACACGAATCATCTCAGTAAATAACCCAGATACACACGTAGACCAGGTCCAGATACACATGTAGACCAGGTCCATGTGAGACACGTAGACCAGGTCCAGATACACACGTAGACCAGGTCCATGTGAGACATGTAGACCAGGTCCAGATACACACGTAGACCAGGTCCAGATACACACGTAGACCAGGTCTGTGTGAGACACGTAGACCAGGTCCGTGTGAGACACGTAGACCAGGTCCATGTTGTGACTTGAGGTAAATGGGACTCAAGATATTCCAGATTTACTTCTTCAAAGTTTCAGGTCCGACGTGTCGGCTCAGATATTAGCATGCTAGCACAATGCTAAGCTACGCTAACCATCCTTCATGAAACAAAGAGAAAGAGGCTTTATGAATAATGACACGAAGACACAGCCGCAGATTAGTCATTAAGAAATGCTCACGCATGCATACACCATCACACACACACTCACACACACACCATCCCCCAACACACACACACACACACACACGGGTTAGTGAGCTGTAATGCAGAGCAGATGTAGGGCACCACAAACGGCATTTGTGTGTGTGTGATTGAGTGTGTGTGTGTGTGTGTGTGTCCTACTAACTGATGAAGCTCACTGGGCTGTCGGCCAATAGCGCAGCTGGATCCGTGGATCATGTGACGAGAGACGGGACGAGTGATTTAAAAAGAGATTGTGAGTGAAAGACGTTTTAAATAAAGTTAAACATTATTATTAAAGACATTAAAAGAGATTAAAGAGGAGAAATAGTTTTTCTTCTTTTATTTGATGTGAAGACGAAGACGCTTGAAACAGAAAATAAACAGTGTTTTTTTGGCTCCATTTACCCACAATGCATTGCCGTACACAGTAATTCAAACATCACTCAAAAAACATCAATATATAAATGTTCAGCAAAGAAAAAGATGGAACATTTAAAATAACTTGTTTTTATTTTTCAACAAAGTTGTAAATGTGCTTAAAGTTTAAAATGAATAAAATTACATTTGTTCAAACATCACGGAACAGAACAATGAAACTTTAACACGTCTGAACCACAACATGCCCGAAACCAAGCGTGAGAACAAACGTGAATAATTAAGTTTAACGTGAACGTGTGACTCATCAGCTGATGATATTCACTAAGTGCAGGTTTAATATTTAAAAAAAATCATTTCTAACTGTTTAAAATATCAGAAATGTTTACATGATATTGTGAACTGAGAGAAATTAGCTTTATGGATTATATATTATAATTATATATAAACTGAAACACTTAGAATAGAAGTATTGTTTGGTAAGAAATACTTATAGTACGCATACTTAAGAGAGGAATGTGTATTTATGTACTGACTTGGCTTAATATATCTTATTGCAGATATCTAATATACACATATATATGTATATATAATTATTATTAATATTAATAATAGAGCGTTGGGAAGACGTTTTCTTTGTTTATTCACATTATTGCTTTTTCTCTCTTCGTGTTGTTGAACATTAAACTTCCTGATTTTTCTTGTAGTTTGTTAAAACTCAGAGTTAATGATTCTAAATGTCAACAGAGCCAGAGGAGAGATTAATGACGCTACGATTCATAAGATCATCAACAGAATGTCAGACAGGAAGACGTAATATATTAATATATAAATCAAGTAGGAAACAGATATTGGGTCTTAATAATCACTGTGCTGGTAGGAGACGTAGTGCTCTTCAGTGCCTTCATGTTTGTGTCTTATTGAAAAAAGCTCATCATCGTATAAACGTTGACATCTTTGCTTGAGAACAAAAGTCTCTTTTTAAGTGAAACCCTGAAGGTCTCACATGAAGTCGTCGTCTTTGGAGTAAACAGAGAGGCGCTTCACTTCACCTTCAGCGATAAAAGACAAAGAAGAAGAAACGTGCAGCACTGTTGGAGAAGCTGGTGCCTCTCCATTAAACCATTAACTCAGATTAAATGTGACGCCTCCGTCACACAAAGAGACGTAGAACAAGAGGAGCAGCAGTGAGAGGGCGTCTGGTGACGGTCTAGTGCACCGTGGAGGATTAAAGTTACCAAACCTCCCGGGAACATCGCTGGTGTCAAAACAATTCCTCATTCTTCTTCAGTGTTTCCGAGCGTCCCGCCGCTGCAAGCTGAAAACATTTGAGGAACAGGATAAAAAAGTTTGTTTTGCGTGTGAGCATGCTTGCAAACGCTGCTACTTTTCAGTGAGAAAATTCAATTCAATGAATATATGTCGGAAGAGATGCTCATCACGGCATCTCGGACTCGTCCTTTTCGGGTGACGTCGGCGATGTGGGCGTGTCCTCCTCGTCTGCTGCCATGGTTGCCTTGGGCAACCCAGCCGCCGCCACCGTCAACGCCATCTTTTCGTAGGTCCTCCTGCGCTGCCGCCGCAGTGTCTGGCTCTGCAGCTCCTTCACCTCCTGCAGGACCTCCTGCGCCTCCTTCCACGACGACACGGCCTCCTCCAGGAGGCGCTCGGCCTCTTCGCGCCTCCGATCCACCTCCAGGTCGTCCTCCGACAGCAGGGAGGGCGGTGAGGAGGGTGGAGGTGGAGACAGGCGGTGTTTGTCGGGGGTTTTGGACGCCGGTGACTCGAAGGATCCGGAAAAGCTCGGGGAGTTCTTCTGACTCGGAGACGGCGACTCCTTGCTGCTCGCCCGACGCAGAGAGTCCGTTTCACTCCCTCGTAATGAATCGGAACCTTTGACCTGAGAGGAGTCGGATCCTCCGACGCTGGGAGGTGATTCAGGTGACTTCTGGACAGGAGAGTCGTCCTCCTTGCTGGGACAAGAGGAGCAAGGCGGTCCCTTGAGTTTTGGTGAACGGACCGTGTCGGAGCTCTTTGTCCGAGGGGAGTCGGTCAGACGAGGCAAATCTTTCAGTCGAGGAGAGTCGTTTGCTTTCGTGGCGGGCGAATGGGATCCTCTGGTTCGAGGGGAGTCAGCCCCTTTGGAGCGATTCTTCTTGGCTTTGGATCGAGGAGACTCTCTTCCTCTCAGACGGGGAGAGTCTTTGCCCCTCAGGCGAGGAGAGTCGCTGCTCCTGCTCCTCGGAGATCCAGACGACCTGCTGAAGAGGACGACAAGAATCGGTTCAACATTAATCTTACTTGGCTTCACAGCGGCTTTCTTTTGAGAATTAGCTGCACACATTCAATGTGTCGGATCATCTAACGGTGCCTGAAACACCCGTTCCGACGGTACAATTGAAGTTTCAAAAGATTCCAAAAACCCTTTTTACGCAATGATTTGCCAAGTGAAGGCAGGCAAACCTGGAGTGAGGAGAGTCTGAGCCCCTGAGGTGGTGGAGGCGGGGGGAGTCGATGCCCTTCAGGTAAGGTGAGCCGCCTCCTCGTTCTCTCTCTGCTTTGGCCTTCTGCAGCTCCTGTAAATCACAACACAACATTAATCGTAAATTACATCCCATCCGTCAATTTCTGCATTATTT